CTTAATGACGGGGACTAAGAAATGTATCATTAGGCAATTTCTTTGTTGTACAAATATCACAGAATGTACTTATGCAAACCTATATGGTACAGTCTACTACACACCTAGGCTATATGGTATAGCCAATTGCTCCTAGGCTACAAAGTTGTGCAGCATGTCACTGCTAAACACTGTAGGCAGTTGTAACAAAATGATAAGTTTCTATGTATCTAAACCTCCAACATAGAAAAGGTACAATAAAAATATGGTATTACAATCCTGGTATTATAATCTTATGAGGCCACTGTTGGATATGCAGTCTATCATTGACCAAAATGTTGTTATGTGGCACATGACTGTATGTGCAAAACACAGACAGGCTTTGGAGACAAAAACCTGGGTCTATAATCCTAGCTCCATCATTTGGTAGCTGCCTGACTTTGACAAGTCAAAACCTCTCTAAGCTTTAATTTCCTTCTCTGTAAAATGGATTTATTAGCTACATGATTCCCAGTGTCTAGCATTCATCCTGAAATTAATGACCTCATGACTAAGCCACTGAAATAGATTAATACCTCCCTCTCTTTTTTCCTGTGAGGACTAAATAAAATGCTGCTCCTAAAACATCCAGTGATGTACCTGGGACAGAGTAGGTACTGGCTAAGAAAACTTTTCTTCCTTTCTTCTTGCCAACCTCCCTCTTTTTCTCAGGTGTTTAAATGTAGGTTGTACCCTGGTACTCATACATGATTTGGGTTTTGGAGAAGCCAAGGACAGGGTTGAGGGAGCCGAGGAATGTTCTTATACTGAGGACTTCCCAGGTACGTTCGCCAATCAGTTGATAAGCTACAAAATGTATTCCTCTCCTGTCAGGTAATGAATTAGTTATTATGTGGAAAAACAAATAAATGTAAGAGCATGTTCTTAGCTGAAGAAGTTTATCTATTACTAGGAGAAACTAGAGTAACACAGATGAAACAGTTATCAAAGCAAGAAATATAAGGCCATTGGCCTGATCAAGAGCAGAACTGGGTTGGAAATAATTCCATCATTCTCCCTCTTGCTATTCATATATGTAGAACATCATGCTAAATGCTCAGAGGTGGTGCCCATGGTAGGCTAAACTTTAGAAATCTTAACACATCCTCCATTTCTTGAGAAGGAAGGACTTGTTTGGACCCTAGGACCCATGGCTGATGGGGCCAGGAATTTGCTACCTACCCAAAGTCAGGCAATCTGTGACCATGCCAGCGCCAGGGGACCCCTAGGCCTGATATGAAAGATGAGCTGGGCCCATCACATCCCACTTCTCATGGATTTGAGTCATGATGAAATGACATCAGAGGAGCCAGTAGGGCAAGAGATACCATAAGAGCAAGGCCACATGGGCTAGGGAGAGAGCTGAGGATGTCATGGAGGGCTCAGGGTCAATGATGGGGCCACCGCTGACCCACCTGAATGCTCACTGGTACAGGGGTTATGGCATCAGTGGGTACCTGACTAGGTTTGTGGAAGGGGCCCAGGCTGAGTTAGATGGCTCCGATTTCCTCCACCTTCCCCTTCCCAAATATTAACTAGATGAGCAGAATTGAAGGGCCAGTGTGGGGAAGGGGGTTGGGAGCTTCTGACAATACCCAAGCAGGCCCAAAGTGAAAGAGAAATGGAACCAAGAGAGGCTTTTCTTAATTCTTACTTAAATAATCCTTACCTGCAATGTGGGCAAGTATAATTCATTCCATTTTAATAGATTTGACTTTTAAAAGTAATTTGCCTGTGTTATTTTCTCCTGGGATACTCTGCCCTCCACTCCTCTCCAGTTTTGGCCCCTTTTCTGCTTTTGGATCTCAGCCTAAATGTCATTTCCTCAGACACCCCTCCTGACCACCCCACCTGAACCCAATTCCTCCTCGTTATTCTGTCTCAGCCTCTTACTTATTTCCTTCAGAGCACGTACCGATGGAGCAAGTGCGCATTGAGTGCCAAGCTAGGCACTGGGAGGGCTGGCGGCACCGCGGGATTGACGAAGGCATCCTTGCGATACAATTTAATGGGGGAAACAAATGCAAACCAATAATCACACAAAGAGTGTTATGAAACACAGATGCCACAGAGAGGGTCCAAAGTGCCAGAAAAGCACAGAAGATAAAATGGTCGATTTGGACAGGAGGATCAGGCAGATTTCACAAGGAAGTAACTTTGGAGACGTAGCTTCAGATATGAGTAAGAATTCAGGCATAAAAGGGGAAGGAAACTGTGTGTGTGAAACCCATACATCTGAAAGATTTTGATGAGTACTCTAATGGTGAGAAGGCTGATTGGTAAATTAATGAATGACAGTGTGTGTGTGTGCATGTGTGTGTGTGTAAGAGAGAGAGAGAGAGAGAGA